ACACATTCTAACACAGACCCTAAGCTCCCCTCCCCTCCCCCCCCCTTTTATCTTTCGCTGCATTTGCGTCTGGGCCTTGGCATTTCCCCACACGAAAGCTCAGCCTCATGGATGAAACACTCTGATCTCAGGTTGGTGCGTGGTTTCTGGCCTTGAGGCTGTCTTCATCACTCTTGAGTACTTGGCTGTGGAATGCTCTGTCACAAAGGGTGACGCCCTTCCCTTTCCAAGGCTTTGCAGCCCTCTGCCCCAAAGCCTTTCTCAGAGCATCCTGCCCTGCACTTTCTTTGTCTTATGCTCACTTGGGTCTACGTCTTCAGGACATTCCAGAGGCTGCTGCCCTGTAAGAGACGGGCAAAGGGAGTGGGTGGGTCCCCCCAGCGTAGCTGGTGAGGGTCACATGCTTGGTAGAGAAATGGAATACAGAGTACTTGTTGGAAAGTGGTCTTGTCAGGATGGAGCTGTTCCCCTTTGTCCCGGTGATGGGAGCACTGGGGAGGGTTGGCTGCTGCAGTGGATGTAACATGTCTGAAACAAACACAAAGGTAAAATGAACCTAGGAGAGTAAATGTATTCTACATTTAAAAAGACCTCTCATTTTCCTTATGGTGAGTGGGGATTGGAAAGCTCTGCTGGCATGCTAATGGCCGTGGGGCTGGAAGTGGGGCAGTCTAACCCTCTTTGAGGATGCTGTTCCAAGGGATTGGAGTGTGCAAAGGGTTTGTTATACAACACCATTATTTATCACTGTTATACACCATTATTTATAATTGTTATAAACATGGTCCCCCAAATGACCACCAGCAGGGTTGTGGTGATTTCTGCAGTGGAACTTCGTATCACCATTAAATAGCATAGTTCTGAAGAATGAGATGTGTATATGATAGAGTAGGTAGTGGTGGATGTTGAAGGGTGGTGGGACCACTGAGGGTTGTCTGGAGCTGGAACTTTAGGGTCTGCCTTCTTTCCTCTCAGAATGCTGGAGACATCGCTTTTTCTTCTGTTTTTTTGCGATTAGATAAGAAGTCTTTATATAATATATAGTATAATAAAAGACAATATGCTAATCATTCCTTTGTAAACAGTGTTTTTGTTTTTTTCTGACGAGTTTTCAGGATTTTAGATCTCTGGAATTCAGACATTGTCCTGGGACGTGTGGGTGGTGTCTCTCAGCACCTCCCCAGTGCCTGAGATGTCCAGTGGACCTGAGTCTGTTTTCAGTGTGAGGATACTTTTTGTCTGCATTTCTTTGATTTCTTATCCATCTGTTCCATTACCCATCTGTCTATGGGAACTCCTCTTATACAGATATTTGTTCTTCTTGCTCTATTTATGGAATTGTTCTAGTAATCTACAAGTTTGGTTCCCAGTAGTGCATCTACCAACAGACTTATTTTGGCAGTCATGTTTAATTTCCAAGAATTCTTTTTGGTCCATTAGTTACGACTTTTTCTTGAATTCCACTGAGGATACGAACGAATTAGAATTATTTTAAAGGTACTCTCCTGATTCCTGCATTCATTTTGCCTCATTGGGCATTAACTCCACTCTGACTGTCTAGCTTGGTCTGCTTTCTGCTTGTTCATTCCCCTCTGATGTCCACTGACACCCCTACCGCCTTCATGAGACCTGGGTGCCAATGCTGGGGCCAACTCTTTTGTGTACAAGGCTCGGGGAAGTGTTCTCAACTGTGTTTTTTGTAGTTGGAGCCTTTCTTAGTTGCCAAATAGGTGTACTGTGGGGATTGCAGAGGGGGTTTTAAAATGTGATTTGTGCTTTTGTCTTTCCAAGAAGTCTCTACAGTGTTTTCATAATCAGAAATAAAATGTTATTATATGTTATCACCATCTCGGACTCCCAGGTTAGAGACCTTAGTGCCATTTTGACTCTTTCCCTGTCCCTATGCCCTCTGCACAGGTGGGTGCTAGTTCTGTTCTGCTCTCCAGTTTCTCTCTCACCACCTGCCTTCCTCTTTTCCCACGTCTATGCTGCTGTACAGCCATTTCTCACCTACACAGATACCCAGGCTTCAGATCTTCCTGCCTCCACTTGGCGTGCTGCTTTGTCCACCTTTTGCACAATAAGTAAGTCCCTTCCCAAACCACAGAGCTGACCATTATCCTTATCGTCTTTGAGCCTCTTTAGATTCTCCTCTTTCCTGCTGAATTCAGTATATCCGCTTTATCTTGTCACCCTCCGGGGACTCTATGGTCCTAGCTGATGTGCCGGCCATCTCCTGTGCAGTGAGCTGCTCAGTGACTCATGTCCCTGCTTCTCTGATCCACCTTGGGACGTGGCTGGGTTTGGGCCAGTTGGCTTCAGTGGGCAGGGGCAGTCTGAAGTGACAGGAAGCTGGCCTCATTGGACTCACCTGTTGGTGGTGTCTAGGTGACCAGATCAGCAGGCTGAGCGCTGTACCTGGAGTGTCAGGCATAGGGGGCCCCAGGTGAGGAGAGACAGAGACTCACTGAAGGGTACATCCACGCACTTCAGGAAGAGGACTAATCACGCCTATGGCGAAGCTGAAATATGTATTTAAGGAAAGGACCAGTAAATAGTTCAAGGAAAGGTCTTGAGTCATAGGAACCTGAGCAGTCATGCAAAGTAACAGTCCCATCAGTAGCTATATAGCAGATGAACAGATGAAGGGACAGTCCTGCTTCTTTGCAAACTTTGCCTCTGCAAAATTCCTTCCTGTCGCAAGGAATTGTTTTTTTTTTTTTTAATTGTTGTAAAACACTATAAATAAGAATGTAGGAAAAAGGTTAATTCTAAGTAATTAACATACATCACCTCTGTCAGGGCTGCAGGTAGAGCCTTTAGGGTTTTCTAAGCAATGTCCATAACTTCCCCTCTGAATATAGAAAGTCTCCACCTTTATGTGTTGGAAACTGCGTAGTAAAGTGGGTACTCATATTCCCTACAAGCAGTAGAAAAGATAGGGAAAAATGTAATGACCCACTCATCCCTGTTATTGAAAAGGGAAAAATTATTTAAAAAGTCTCTAAACTGCACAAAGTCGCATAGACTTACTCTGTTATGGGCTCTGTCTTGTGATATGCATGTCCCTGCTTCTCAAACTGGGACATGCATCCCTTGGAGAACATGATCTTGTGCTAAGGATTCACGTGGCACATTTGGGAGGCAACTTTTGGGAGGAGGAAAATATCTTTAAACCAGGGTTTCTAAGCCTTGGCACCCTTGACATTTGGGATTGGATAATTCTTTATTGTGAGATCTGTCCTATGCATTATAGGATGTTTAGCAGCACTCCTGGCCTCTCCGTCTTAGATATACTAGTAGCTCTCCTCTAGTCGTGATGACCAAAAATGTCTCCAGACATTGCCAGATGTCCCCTGGAGGGAAAATGACTCCTGGTTGAGAGCCACTGCTTTAAACAGACATGCATATGATATGAACAAGAATGCAAAGTGTGCATGAACATTTAAACCATAAGAGCCACCTCAAACACATGTGATGTGTGCACCTAGCTCCTCTTCCATTAATGCAACTTGATGTTCTGGCAACTATTTCTTTTATTTTTCCTTTTTGCCCTCTAACTATTGAATTCTCAAATTTTGTATAATTCTTTCTCTTATTTGTTCATTTTTTTTCTCCCTGGCTCATCCAAAGTATTTTTTGAGTGAAAAGTGTCCCTAAGAGAATTCCTTGAACAGGAGGTTTCCTGCTTGTATTTTTAAACTTCTTATAGGTCTGTCTTCACATTTGCAGGACAGCTTGGCTGGGTTATTCGTTCTCGGTGGGAAATTAATTGGTGCTGAGCTCTGACATCATTCTAATCAGAGTGCCAGTGAATGTTCTCTGTCCCTTCTCACCCCTGCCTGCTGGTGGTATTTTTTTCTTGCTCATAAAAATTTAGGCATACCTAGGCACGTTGGATTGTACATGTGCGAACTCTTGGAGGGATCCTTTGTGCCCTCTCATTTATGACGCCAAATTCTCCAAATGCTTGTTAATCTTTGGGTGGATCTCTTTTATTGTCAAAGTCATGCTTCTGTTGTTTGAAATTGAGTTTTTAATTTTCTTCTGCTTCACTGAAACTTGGCTGCCTAGGATTGTTTCAGTAGCTTCTTGCTTTTGACTTTTGCTTAGATTTTCTCGTAGCCAGGAGTATTGTACAGATTCTCTGAGCATGTCAGATCCGTCGTGGGTCTAGTAGTGTTGATCTTCCTGCTCCTTTCTTATCTCTTGACACTTTACCTCCCCTTTTCCCCCTCTCTCCTCCCTTTTTTGGTTGAATTTTTTCTTTAGGTTTATGTTGTCACTTGATATAGAATATTTTGGCTCTGTTTTTTATATTTCATTTTAGCCCATTTAAAGGTCCTCTTGCTACCTTCCTGGAATTCTGTGTGGCCATTTAATCCCAGGTTGGTTTTATCTCCATTTCTTTATGCTTTTGAGTGCCTTCTCCTGCCTTTAGTTGGGCACCTGTAGGGAATTCAGAATTATTTCAATATCCATCCAATCATAGTAAATTGGTTATAACTGCATTGTGTAGTATGATTGCCATTAGCCACAAGTGGCTATTTAAATTTTAATTAAAATTAGATACAATTAAAAATTCAGTTTCTCCTTTGCACAAGTCACATTTCAGGCCCAATAGCCTTGTGACTAGTGACGACTGTATTGGACAAGACAGATGTAGAATATTTCCATCATTGCAGAAAGTTCCATTGGATAGTGCTGGGCTATAAGATATATGCTGTAATGCATGTCAAAGAAATACCTCTGCTATTTTGTGTCCCTGGTATTGTGATATTTTTGATGAAATATAGTCCCTCTCTCCAGGGGACAGTTGAGACTCAGTGAGTGACTGTAAATGAAGAAGAGTGGGGACTTGAAAAGTGTAATTAAGTAATGTATTTTTGGATGTTCGGGGGGAACTTGTACTCTGACTTTTCCGTGCAGGAGACGTGATGACCATGTGTCCTGAGATGTGTGTGTGCTTGAGGTGATTTGGCTGTTTTCTGTTTTCCTAGGTGCTAAGAGATGGCGCTTGTGGGGCTCAGCTCTGCCTGAGAATCGGGCGCTCCAGGCACTGAAGAGCCAGCCCTGATCCTGGGCTGCCCGCTTGAACACGCCTTCACCTCCAGCCACTCCCGTCCACTGGCCAGACCACTTGTGTTCTCTTAATGATGGGTATCGGCAAGAACACGACATCCAAATCCATGGAGGCGGGGAGTTCCACCGAAGGCAAATATGAAGACGAAGCGAAGCACCCCGCCTTCTTCACCCTCCCGGTAACAGCATTCCCTGTCTGCCTTTCTCCTTGAATCACTCTCAAGTGATTAGTAATAGTATAGGATTAGCTTTAATACTCATGTTTTCAGTAGAGGTTAAGGTCTTTGAAAACCAAATGCTTTTCACATGGGAGAGTCTTTGGGAACCCTGTTGGCCAACTGGTTCAGGGGCTGCTCTCTGCCTGGAGTCACCTGATGGGATTAACTCCAGGAAGGAAGCATGCATTGCTAGGAACGTTGTAAAACTGGCCCAGTGCTTACTGGATACTGGAGGATGTTGAAGGCTTAATTTTATCTCAAAAAATGTGTTCTTATGAAATAACCTGTAACCCCACTTCAGACTTGTATTGCAAGGTGGGAGAATGAATGAATGACTTATTGTTTGGAACCCAGATGTCCATGCTGTGCATTATGGCAGCAGCATCCGAGATAGAGGTAGTTTTACCTGGACAAGTGGTGTCACTCAGATAAGGCTGATTACACACATTCTTTATATTCAATGCCAGTATTTTTCCAGATGTAGGATTATGACTTGGTGTGTGTAAAGTTACCTAACGTGTTGGTTTAAAAAAGAAAAAAGCTCTTTAGAGGGAATTTGCCTCAAGATGTTTTTCTCTGAGTATTGGAAATGAGGTTAATGGCAAGAATACCATTCTAGGTTTCCTTAAAACACAGTCCTGGAATTTGCCTCACTCTGCGGCATTGCTCAGTAAGAAAGATGTGAGCAGAGCATCTTTAAGTACATTGGTTGACCTGACTTGCGTTCACGGTTTGATTTTTACCCTATTAATTCACAGAGAGATGTTCCACTCATTTTATAGCTGGCGTCACTGTTTTCTTCCCTCCTGTAAAGTGAAATTTTGAAACTGGATTTTCTGTTATACTGAAGGCTTAAGGTTGACACAGGTTTTCTAGAGGAAGAGACAAGTCAGTTTTTCAAGTTTAAATTAGATCATCTTTGAAAAGTGAACAGGAAAGTTTCATGCCTGGGTATTGAAGTGTCTCTGATGCTGCGTTTCTCTGCCGTAGAGCCCAGCCCCGTTCACCTTCCCCCTGTTCCACTTGAGAGACAAGAACTTGAGCACACCTTAGCCACCCGCCCGCCTTGTCATTATGGCCTAGAGTTTTAGCTTTACTTCTTTTCACATTCAAATTGTGGTATTTTATTTATTTGTTTATTTATATTTTTTTGTGAGGAAGATCAGCCCTGAGCTAACATCCTTGCTAATCCTCCTCTTTTTGCTGAGGAAGACTGGCCCTGAGCTAACATCTATTGCCAATCCTCCTTTTTTTTTTCTCCCCAAAGCCCCAGTAGATAGTTGTATGTCATAGTTGCACATCCTTCTAGTTGCTGTATGTGGGATGTGGCCTCAGCATGGCCGGAGAAGCAGTGCGTTGGTGCGCACCTGGGATCTGAACCCGGGCCGCCAGTAGCGGAGCGCGCGCACTTAACCGCTAAGCCACAGGACCGGCCCCAAATTGTGGTATTTTACAGTTAGCAGTTAAATTCACTGGCATATGGCATCAGTTTTCATATTTGCTCTTGTTTCTTATATCCCTCTTCTTCCCTTTTAGATCACTTTGCTTTTAAAGTACACTGGGGGTCTGTGAACGGTTGCTGCTTTGTCTTTGTACTTCTGAAAATAACTTTGTTTTGCTCTCAACTCTTGAGTGAACTTCTATTAATTATACACTAGCACGTCCTAGTCCATCTCCATTCCTCTTTAACTGCTTTCTCATGATTTGGGTATCTTTTTCTAGTGCTACCTTCTGGATGGATTCCCAAGTGTTATTTTCCAGCGTACTAATTCTTTGTGTACGGTCATGTGTTACGTTGAATTTTTATTGCAATGATTATTTTTGTTATTTCTAAGATTTCTATTTGGTTCATTTCTGCCTATTTTTGGTTCTTAATTTCTGGTATGAATGTGTTTGTTTTGAAATGTTTCTTCATTTAAATTGTTGAGGACCCTAATGTACTTATTTTAAAGTATTTCTCCTATTGTTCTATTTTCATCTGGCTTGAAATCCTCTTCTTACTGTTTCTTTTGAGATATTCTTCTCTCTTTCCACCATCCCCCCTTCTGTGGTTTTGCATTTTCCTTTCCTGGGTCCAGTCCAGAACCAGGTCTTACAGTGGAGGTCTTGTTTTGTTTTTTTTTTCCGTGAGAAAGATCAGCTGTGAGCTAACATCTGATGCTGCTGCTCCTCTTTTTTACCGAGGAAGACTGGCCCTGAGCTAACATCCGTGCCCATCTTCCTCTACTTTATATGGGATGCCGCCACAGCATGGTGTGACAAGCAGTGCGTCGGTGCGTGCCCAGGACCTGAACCCATGAACCCCGGGCCGCCGCAGTGGAGAGCATGCACTTAACCGCTTGCGCCACCGGGGCCGGCCCCTGCAGTGGAGGTCTTACTCTCTCCCCCAGGGTGCAGACCACGACATGCGGAGTGAGGAAATGTCCTGGCCCCTGGCTTTGAGCAGGAACCTGGTTCTGGTCCCCTGCTTGTTTTGGGGGCCCCCGAGTCCCTGTTTCTCCACTGGAGCTGAGAGCTGCCTAACTGAGGTCTTCCAGGCTGAGAGCCTCGTGGGCCCAAGTGTCAGCGTGTTCATCCCTTTATGTTTCCTGTATTCGGAAAGGCTTGTCTGTTTTTAGGCTTGCCTATTGTGGGGTTTTCCCCTCTATCGTTTTTTTTACGGGTGGTGAGTTGGGAAGGAGTGTTCCTCAAAGCATGAATTTCCAGATATGTCTTCACCAGGAGTCCCTGCAAGTACATGGGAGCTGGGAATGCGGGCATAATATGTAGATGGTCATAAATATAATGTGATATAAAGTTGATTTAACACTAGAGCAGTTTAACTGGGGAAGTTATAGAATTTTTACCCTGGGCTCAGGCTGTAAAGTAAGCATTAGAAAGGGGGATACAGGGGCCGGCCCGGTGGCGCAGGCGGTTGGGTGCGCGCGCTCTGCTGCGGCGGCCCAGGGTTCGCTGGTTCGGATCCCGGGCGCACCGACGCACCACTTGTGGAGCCATGCTGTGGCGGAGTCCCATATAAAGTGGAGGAAGATGGGCATGGATGTTAGCCCAGGGCCGGTCTTGCTCAGCAAAAAGAGGAGGATTGGCAGATGTTAGCTCAGGGCCGATCTTCCTCACAAAAAAAAAACAAAAAAAAGAAAGGGGGATGCAGAAGAGGAATACTCGAGTTAGATCCTGGGTTGGAGCGGGAGGGGAGAGGCTGTGTAGGCTCAGCGTGTGAACCACAGGGTGACTTGGAACCAGGATGCCAAGAAGGGTGTTAACATGACCTCCCTCAAAGCTTGTGAGAGCACAGGAGATGAAACAAAAGGAGGAGAACAAAACCCTGTCAGAGAATGTTTATCAAGAAATAGTTCATGTCATGGAATCGGGATTGTAGAAAGTTCTGTTAGAAAATACCTTGTAATATAATAATAAAAATAGGAACACTGCACTGCCCATATTTAATCACTAGTGACATTGCTACCCAAATAAAACTTTAAAAAGAGGATAGAAGAGCATTTTGAATGATTTGCTTGTTGACAGGACTTAGGCAGGGGGCTGGATTAGAGCTGGTCCCTTTCTGCTGCCCAGTGGTCAGATTAGTTTGATCACTGCCTCTCTGCTCTTGGGGCGCACGTCTGTGTCTCCGTGTTCCTTGGTTGGCCCACAAGGTCTAGACACTAATTTCACAGACTCTGAGAGCCTTGGAGCTGAAAGTGGCTTTGGAACCTCCTAGTGGTTCTATAGGAAGGTGAAATGCAGGAGTTTTCTCAAAGCTTCTGGTTCTGGGCCGGCTCCATGGCTTAGCGGTTAAGTGCGCGCGCTCTGATGCTGGCGGCCCGGGTTTGGATCCCGGGCGCGCCCCAAGGCACCACTTCTCCGTCCAGCGCGAGGCCGAGTCCCACGTACAGCAACTAGAAGGATGTGAACCTATGACATACAACTATCTGCTGGGGCTTTGGGGGGAAAAAAATGAATAAATAAAATCTTTAAAAAAAAAAAAAAAAAAAGCTTCTGGTTCACATGCTATGTTAATTAATTAAAATTTATATTAGTTGGATCACACAAGGCCCTTGTCCCCAAGGAGGTCACAGCTGGTGAGCAAGACAGGAGCTGCACATGAGCAACACTAACGACAGGTACGGGGCAGTGATCTTCTGAGTTTAACAGATGATCTTGGGGATGGCAGGAAAGAGAAAGAGCGGGAGGGAGTGTTGGTGATTTCACTGCTGTGGTTGATGCTCCAGCGGGAACAGAGATGAAAAATAGGCTCCATCTCTCGTTTCCTCCAGCTACTTGTCAGTGTGAACATCGGGCTGGCGAGTGACTCTGGTTGTGTGTTTTTTCTTTTCCTTGAAACATGGCCCCTCAGTGCATTGGGAAATGATATTTTGGATTGTGGGGTGTACTCCTAAGAGATTCTCTAGGGTAGTTTTAAATAGAGGTGATTTTTTGCTGACTTTAAAACATCTCTCCCATGTTAAATATGATTCCACTAGAGAAAGGGTGGTGTGGGGTAGAGGCTGGAGGAGTTGAGGTGGGGAGAGGACCCTTGGCTACGCTGGGCCCTGGAGGCAGTGGCAGCTGAAATGGGCCTTGAAGTAAAAGGAGGCAGCGATGGAACATGTTGAGAGGGGGGAAAGGACAGTGGCCAGGAAGGGTCTGCCTGAGCCAAGTCAGGGGCAGAAGGGGAAAGAAAGGTGTGGAGGAGCGACCTTAGAACAGTGAGCTGAGAACCTAGGTTCTGGGTGGTTCTTGAATGATTGGCTCAGAAAGTTAGAAGTTTCTAGTCCATCAATAAAAACTCTCTGTGAGTTTTGACCAGGGGACTAACCCAATAGGTTGTGCTTTAGGAATATTGAAGAACAGTCTGGGAGTACTGCAGAGAATGAACTGGAGTAGGGCACAATTACAAGAAGAAAGAAAAGTGTTGTCTTAGTGACCTTGGGCTGCTGTAACAAGTTCCTATGGGGGGGGGG